TCCTATCCCTGATGCTGAAGAATGGGGGCCTCCATGACCTGAGGAACTGGCACTCAGTCTCGCTTCTCTGTTCAGACTATAACATCATACTGAAAGCCATCTCTGTGCCTGAGGTCTGTGCAGGTGGATGTGATTCACCCCCCACTCCATCTTTGACAACCTGTACCTGGCACAGGACCTCTCCTAGCTTGCTTGCATGGATTGACTGTCATTTGCCTTTCTGTTTCATGACCAGGAGAAGGTGTTTGACAGGGTGGATCATGGGTACCTCACAGGCATGCTGAGGGTGTTTGGCTTTGGTCCCTGCTTCTGGCTGTTTCTTCAGGTGCTGTAAACCTTCTTAGATTGCATGGTCAAGTTCAACTGGAGGCTGACAGAATCCATCCCTTTCAGGTGGGGAGTGCATCAGGGTAGTCCACTGTGAGGCCAGCTCTGTGCCATCATCCTTGAGCTGTTCCCACGTCTCCTGCACAAGGAAGTGGTAGGGCTGGTGCTTTAGGAACTGGCTATGGAGGTGGTCCTGTAAGCCAACTATATGCTCTTCACTGTCCAAGGTGACCTGGTGTAGGTGGAGACCTGCCAATCCCTCTATTCAGCAGCCTCCTCTGCTCAGGTCAACTGGGTCAAGAGCTCTGGCCTGACGCTGGTTGCCCAATGGCAGGTGAGCTTGTTCCCATCTGCGTTCCAAAGCATCTAATGGGGTGTGGTCTTGCTGCTCTATTTGGGGGTCTACTTGTGCCCCAGTCACCCCTGCCCACCAGAGAACTGGCATCAGCTAGAAGTCAGGGTGTCTGACTGGCTGCAGGCCTGCTGCTGTGTCTCTCTCTTCATGGGAATGTGCTGGTCATCAACCAGCTTGTCCTGTCCATGCTTTGGCACTGTTTCAACACCTTGGCCAGACCCCCAGTGAAAGTTGCTGGAGATCATCTGGCTGGGACAGTGCTGGGTATCTGCAGGTGTCCTAAGCTTCTCCTTGTGGGAGGGTGGGCAGACCCTGGTCTGATTCCACAACCAGGCACACACCTTCCATCTTCAGACCCTGCAGAGGCTTGTGTACAGTGCTGGTAACCATGTGATGTGGTACCTTATCAACCGTGCCATCCTCTACCACCTCCAAGGGTTCCAATACAATCAGCAGCTCTTCCATCTGCAAGATCTCCCCAGGCAGGACCCAGAGGAGTTGCCAGATGTCTACCAGGATCTTTCTCAGGGCTTGGAGGCTGGTTTCTGCCTCCATGTACCTAGAGAAGGTCGCCTGGGGCACTGACCTCATTGCTGAGACCCTGCTAAACAATCCACAGCTCTTGATGCCAGCAAGAGAGGTTCCCTGGGTGCACCAGAGGATGGTCCCAGTCAACATTATTCATATTGGGGATCTCTTGGACTATGCCAAGTATGGGTGGGCAGATCCGTCTGTGCTGGCCTGGTGCATTGAGCTGGTCATGCTATGTGCTCCCTGCCACTTACTCCAAGAGGTAAAGACTGGCCTACTGCCAACTGCCTTTGCCTATATCAACCAGGTTCTGCATGAGGACAGTCCCTGCCCCCTGTATCCACCAGCCCTCCAGAACCAGTCCTGGGGCCACTGCCATGATAGGCCCCATGGCACTCCCTGCCCCACCATTCTAGCAGGCTTGGGGATTTCAAGCTGTTCTGCCTCTGAACAACAGACCACCACCAGTTCTACATGATTGTGCTCCACACAACCATCATCCCATCCTCATATCCTGCCCTGACTAGAAACGGTGGGAGACCACAGGTGAGGGCAGAGGTGAGAGTCCCTGGTGGACAAGTTTGTATTCACCCTGATCTCAAGAGCCACCAGGGACCTCAGATGACAGCCCTTTCATGAAGCCATCTCCATGAACATGTATCTGGCATGCTTTACGGACACCACTGACACCTTCCCCTTCTGCCAACAGAGGAAGCTCCTGGTGTATGCCTCTCTTGCAGCCTCTATTCTGCCTCATCTGGAACCTCTTACTAAGGTTCTAGTTGCACTTCTCCCCACACCTTTTTTGTTATGCATTCTCCATTCATGGCTCCCTCAAGATCTGGGACCCAGGCATGGCTGGTGAACTATGAGACAGGTGCAGGGGATGGATTGTCACATCAGGAATGACAGTGCAGCTGGGGACAGTGGGGCTGCACAGGTATTCCTTGCCACTTCTAGCCCTCCCCTGCTGCCCTGGTGAGACACCCCCTATGCCTGCTGCTGCTTTGAGAAGCCCAGTGCCATTGCCCTCACTCCAGCCCTGTGTGCAGGGGGTACATTGCCAAGGCAGTGGCATGGGGCTCCTCAAAGCAGCAGCAGGTGCAGGAGGCACATCGCCAGGGCAGCGAGGGGTGGGGGGCTAGAAGTGGTGAGGAATTCCCGCATGGCCCCACTGTCCCCAGCTGCACTGGGTTGCACCCACCAACTCCAGGAGCCCCAGGGAAGGGAAGCAGGACAGGAGATCAAACCCACAGCCTGTGCCTGCCCTGGTTACATGTCCCCTCTTCCCCCTGGGAGTGCATGCAGAAGTGAGGAACTAGCCTTCTCCCTCCCCCAGATGAGCCACCTGTGGCCCCATCCTGCTCCCAACTGGGGCCCTGGAGGCATGCATTGCAAGCCCCAGCCTTAAGCCCCACCTGGCTGGGCAGCAGCCACAGCCCTGCCCAGCTACCTCCCTAAAGGGGCCTCAATCCCTCTCTCCACTTACCTGCTGGAGCTGCTCTGCAGGCTGCCTGGGGCCATGTGCATGTCTCTGCACATTGTGCCCCCTGTCTTTCCGCCTTCCTCCCAACAGCTTTTTATCTACGCTGGGGTGTCAGTACAGGCACCCTGCTGCCCACTTAAGCACGTGGTTATTGCAATCCATTCGAACTGTTCAAGTGTTTCTACTTCTCATGTGGCACTCAGGCGGTAAGGAGATCACCCCGAGGTGTTTACCGGCATACTCAACTTTTTGTTGTATATGCATGCTGCATAAGCATAATCATGACATTGATCATGTCATTTTGAAATTGGGGTGGTGCCCAAGCACCCCATATTGACCAGCCACTGCTGCTGGGACCTTGTGTGTGGTCAACCTCCTCCTGGCTCTGGCCAAAGTGGCCATATACAAGACCAGGAAGGAGGCTCTGCCTAAGAGAAATGTGGGCATGTGTGGAGCTGATTTCCTGTCACTCCTCTGCTCATGTCCCTGGGCAGAGTTTCACTGGTCAGTGTCCATAAACTTCCTTGACTCATTAAGGGGACAGCAGGCACTGCTTGATGTGTTCTGCTCAGTGTCCCCTTCTGGATCTCTTCTGATGCCCCTTTCCTCCAAATGACCATTCAAGTAAGCAATTATTCTTTCTTTGAATTTACAATTGTGATAACTGTATACTCAGCTTCCTGTCTTGTTCCTTTCTTATCCTTTGGCAAAGTTTGGTTAAAAAATGCAACAGTGATGCTGAAGAACTCAGTAACAAGGAAAAAAATATTGAGTCCATTTCTCTCAGTAATGAAAAGTAAAGTAATGGAGGCTTAGAGAAATAGAAGTAGTTTTTGGAAGAAGCCAGTGATATGGTGTTGGTGACCAGGCATGCTGATGCTGGACGTTGTTGTGCTGTTTTAAATGTTTACTTATGGCCTCCACAGACCAGACCAGACCAGACCAGACCAGACCAGACCTAAGACTGTTTGCATTCTGTTTAATTTTAATGGGGAGAGCAAGACTCCTTAGATTAGGATTCAGAACACTACAACCCTAGCAGTAAAAAAACACCAAAATGAGGGTATGTAAAATCCTGCCTCTCTCCCAGATTATGTGGCTACAGGCAGCCCTGAGTAAGGCTGTTTGTACAATTTATATTAGGAAATAATTGGATAAAATAAGTGAAAATTATTGGAAACAGGGACCAGAATCAAGGACTTCCCCACTGTAGGAGAGTGCCATCCTCACGGGGCTATAAATTCAGATTCCTTCCGGATTGCTTTCCTTCTGTCCCATGACTTCTGAATGACTTCTGCATTCCTTTCTGGTTGGTAGCCCAACTTCAACAGAGGGTGCAGTGCCATTGTGGTTATCGAACCTCCTGGGAGAAGTTACATGGCCTATAACAGGTGTTCCCAGAGTGGAGCTTAAGTGTCACTTATGGCCTGCAAAATGTTTACATGCAGATCACAAGGGGAATTCTGAATAATGGCCACCTTGGACAGAAGCAGCTGATCAACAAGGCAGTATCTTAATGACTGTTCAGTAGTAACAGAATCACAAAAATTATTAGTGATTATAAATTTGTATATGGAAGGCCCATTACATTACATCCTTTGAACATAAAAGTATTGCATTGCAGATTCATTTTGTTATGTCGTTCCCAGTGTGATGTCCGTTTCACTAAGTGTCCCCCTCCATGAACAAAACTTTGGAAAGTCCTAGCCTAGGTTGTCTCTCACTTCCTGGATGAGCACACTAATCTCTAGGGTATTGTGTAACAGGAGGTATCACTACCTTCAGTGTTTTTCAATGAAAGTCATCACAGACACTGAATTTAGATTTTTCCAGTGTGTGTTAAGTGTGTTCTGTGGGCTTAGGTGAAGTAACTCCTGTTTGTGAATCCTAAGCTGAGGCAGTTATTAGTATTTAGTTATTAGGCAAAGAGTAACTTATTATGATATAGAAAATTAAATATGAAAACAGTATTGCCATTAGTTTTTGTCCTTACCATATCTTCTCTCACAGTGTAAAAAATGCTGAGTAGTTTCACATGTGCCTGCAGTTGCTGGAGAAGGGCAAACCTTGAAGTCTGCCCAACAGAGAATGTAAACATTGTTATGGTTAACTGAACCACAGAACAGCAGAATATTTGCAATCACTTGTTCTAATACTTTGTCTGAAGGAGAAGGTTCACTAGACTCTGTCTGCTAATTACCCGCTGATCAACTGAAGGACAGTGATGGGAGCCTGCCAGATAGGGTTAGTTATTAGTGTTTTAGCTATTTTAAAAGTGTTTGAACTCAAGAATATTTTAATCTAATGCTGAAATTCTGAAAAACAAAGTTTGAAAGTTTGAACAATCCACATTCAAGCTCTCAAACAACCCCCACTTTTTTTTTGCCATATCAATAACCACTTGACACTATCTCTCTGTGACTCTCTCACTTCTGCAATAGCTTTCTCTACATTATAAAATACGAAGAAGCACAGTATGGTGTTAATATATAAATAATATTATGCTTATTACTAGAATTAGTCAGTTGTACAGAGTGTGGGGGTGTTTACAAAATTAACGAGTAAGAGTTTGCATAATCAACATTTTTCTAATAGCTCGTTTGACTGCCATTAATTTCCCTACAAGCACATTTCCTCTCTCGTTGAAGACCGTGCATAAGAAATTTCACATTCATTATATTTATTTTCCAAAGTCATGGGATGGATGTTTCCTTTTTTTTAAATAAAATTTATAATTTAAAGCTGATTATACACATAACTATGGAATTGCTAGCACAGTTCCATAATACAGCATAAAAGACTGTCAAACTTTCAGCACTTGAAAAGAAAGTCTAATTTAGAAATGTTTCCATACATTAATTAGATTTTCATGTTACTTTACACATTTGGATGTTAAATCCACCCAGAGACAGAGATATTATTATATTCAACCACCATCAAGTGGTTTCCAGCTTTATAGCAAAGTATGAACGTTCAAATTCTTCCTTTGTTGTTTGTGAGTGTGCATTAAATGAAACTGTACCTAGCTCATTGGCAATGGATCACCTTAAGTTGTGTCCAGACATGCAGGCATGTGTGCTTGCAGCAGTTCAAACAGAAGTGGTGCAAATTTAAGCCAGGGCTTTTTAACTCAGTGTATGTACCACTTGGGGCAAAATAACCTTGCCTGGCTCCTCCTGGATCATAGATACTGGCCCCAGAAGTAAAAAGAGGTGCCCTGTGCTAGCCCCAGCAGTACAAAAAGCTGCCCTAGCAAGTAGCTCAGGGCCACTTGCTCTCAGAAGCTTCTGGGGCCCGGCCAATTAGTACATGGGGACACCTCTTGTGCCAGCTGGACTGGTGAACCTGAGAGTTCCTTGCACCCTCTACCCGCTGCAGCAGTCTAGCAGTGTGGGCTGCTGCCTGGCTGTGACCTGCTGCCACCTACACCAGGTGGCACCAAGGCTGCACACCTGCCAGACCCAGATGGGGACTGCATGGCCATTAGAGGTATCTGCCCCTCTGGGCCAGCTGCCAGTGGGCTATGGCTGCAGAGCTGGCACACTACTGCCATATGTGCCCCTGCCTGGCCATCTGGGCAGCTATCACATGGAATATGTTCTCAGTGTGTTGGCCTGCTTTGAACTGTTAAAACATGTCCTGTTAGCCCCATGTCCACAAGTGGGCAGGAGATCAGTCACCTCCAGCTGGGTCCTGGGTGCCAGCTCTGAGCAGGATCCTCTGCCTGGGTACTGCCATTTGCCTCACTAGCAGGAATTCTGGTGTTCCCCATTTAAAAACTGAAAAATCCCAGGTAAAAAAAATTCCAAAGTCACTCTGTAAAATACGTCAACAAAAGACTACGCTCTCTCCCTCTCTCTCTCTCTCTCTCTCTCTCTCTATATATATATATATACACACACATACACACACACATATTAGGGTTGTGCAAAATTTCGCCAACTGTTTTGTTTCGACACTGTTTCAACTCATTTTAAGTTTGAAACAGTGAAATTGAAACAAAATAAAGAGCTTCAAAACAGCCTTGAAACAAAATGAGTTTGAGGCAGACTGGCTGAGTTCCCCTCCCCAGCTCTAGGATTGGGCTGGGGAGAACTGAGCCCAATTGCTCAGTTCCCCTCCCCAGCACTGCGATCAATTGGGCTGGGGAAAGCAACTCAGCCCAGCTGAGCCGAGTTCCCCTCCCCAATGCTATAATCGGGATGGGGAAGGCAACTCATCCTGATCTTAGCACTGGGGAGGGGAACTCATCTCAGCTGGGCTGAGTTGTCTTCCCCAACCCGATCATAGTGCTGGGGAGGGGAACTCAGCTCAGTTGGACTGAGTTGCCTTCCCCAGCCTGATTGATCACAGCGCTGGGGAGGTGAACTGAGAAATCAGGCTCTGTTCCCTTCCCCAGTCCAATGGATCACAGTGCTGGGGAGGGGAACTGAGTGATCGGGCTCAGTTCTGTTCTCCTGCCTGATCTATCACAGCACTGGGGAGGGGAACTCAGAGATGGGGCTCAGTTCCCTTCATCAGCTCAATCGGGCTGGGGAAGGGAGCTGAGCCTGATTGCACAGCCCCCACAGCCCTCTCAGGGTAGTGGCCCCCAATCTACCTGCCAGACGACAGAAGCTGGGTGCTGCTGCCTGGGGCCAGTAGTGTGCTGGCATCAGCCCAGGCAGCAGCACCTGGGTTCCCTCCCTTATCTGGCAGGCAGATCAGAGGTCTGCAACCCCAGGACAACATGGGCCGACAATGCGAGGTCATGGTTGGCAGGGCTAACCGGACCTTGTCGTGCATCCACAGGTGCATCTCGAGTAGAGCCAAGGAGGTGATCCTCTCCCTCTACGCGACGCTGGTCAGGCCACAGCTGGAGTATTGTGTCCAGTTCTGTGCGCCCCATTTCAAGAGGGATGTGGACAATATGGAGAGGGTCCAGAGGAGGGCCACCCGCATGATCCAGGGACAACAGGGCAGACCCTACAGTGAGAGACTGCGGGACCTGAACCTATTCAGCCTCCACAAGAGAAGGCTAAGGGGGGACCTGGTGACTGTCTATAGACTCACTAGGGGGGACCAGAGGGGTTTGGGGGAGACGCTGTTTCCCCTAGCGCCCGCTGGCATAACAAGGAGTAATGGGCACAAGCTGATGGAGAGGAGGTATAGATTGGACATCCGCAAAAACTACTTCACGGTTAGGGCGGCTAGGAGCTGGAACCAACTTCCAAGGGAAGTGGTGCTGGCCCCTACCCTGGGGGTCTTTAAGAAGAGGCTGGATGCCTACCTGGCTGGACTCGTTTGAGTCCCGTTTCTCTTTTTGGGGTTTTTTGTTGTTCTCCCGCCCTGGCGGGGGGTCGGGTTAGAAGATTTACTAGGTCCCTTCCGACCCTTAATCTATGAATCTATGAAACTGGTACAGCCTCCGCAGCCCTCCCGAGGTTGCAGTCCCCAATCTGCCTGCTGGATGAGAGAGGCTGTTTCGAGCTTCTCCATTATAGCCTATGGGCGAAACTCAAAACAGTGTCAACATTTTGACAAAATGAAACAGAACAGAGGTTTTGAATTGAAATGAAATGCTGTTCCATTGAAATGCAAGTCAAAACGGAATGGTGCCATTTTGCACAGCCTTAATCTATCTATCTATCGACACACACACACACACACACACACACCAGTTAGGCAATGTTTTATTGGCATATCTAAAATGTTAAAGCAGTTTGGAACCCTACCAGTGTCTCTATCATCATAATAAAATTAATTCTAAATACCTATATGTTTTGCTGTTTGCCTTTGATTTTCTTACCAAAGAGCAGTTAGAGCTCCCTCTGACCCCTTCACTCACCAGGATGTGAGGACAGCTGCCCCTGCAGCCACAGCTCCTGCCAGCAGGTCTCATTCTGTCTAGTAGCTGGGCATGTAGGGTATGTGCTGTGGGGAAGT